TTAAATTCTGCCCTCTCATACTCATTAAGTACCCTCGTGCCTTGTTTTTAAATCCGGCCCGTTGAATTTGATACTTTAAGAATATAGCCTTGGTTTTTGACTATCGCCATGTTTAGTTTGGTACAAACAACAAACTTTGTATGTATGTAAACTCGGCGGGTGATATAACATTCTGACATCTTTTACTCATTAAGTACCGTCGTGCCACGTTAATTAAATCCGACCCGTTGAATTTTACCCGTTTAGAATTAAGTCTTAGTTATTGACTATCGTAATCCTTTTGTAAAGTGAGCGGGCCACGTTTAGTTTGGTGTACATGTAGACAGTAAAACTTTGTATGTATGTAATCGTGGCGGGAGATTAGAAATTCTGCCCACTCATACTCATTAAGTACCGTCGTAGCACGTTAATTAAATCCGGCCCGTTGAATTTTACGCATTTTATATATGGTCTATGCCTATGGCTTTCACTCAAAATGTTTAAAGTTAGCGGGCCACGTTTAGTTCAGCGAAGACAATGAACTTTTCTTTGTATGATTATAAATAGCGGGAGTTTAAAAAATACTTATGTCTTGAACTCAATGAATGCTCGCTGCCTCGTTAATTAAATCTGGCCCGTTGAATTTGATACTTTTAGTACATTGTCGTGGTTGTTGACTTTCGTAATTTGCTCTTCAAGTTCGCGGGCCACGCTTAGTTCGGTGCAGAGAATGAACGTCATATGTATGCAAACGTGGCGGGAGATTTGAAATTCTGCCCTCTTATACTCATTAATTGCCGTCGTACCTCCTTAATTAAATCCGGCCCGTTGAATTTTACCCATTTAGTACAAGTTTTAGTTGTTTACTATCGTAATCTGACTTTAAAGTTAGCGGGCCACGTTTAGTTTGGCTAGCCGGCAATAGTTTGGTGTAGACAGTGAATCGTGGCGGGAGATTTGAAATTCTGCCCTCTCTTCCTCATTAAGTACCGTCGTGCCTCCTTAATTAAATCCGGCCCGGTGAATTTTACACATTTAGTATAAAGTCTTAGTTGTTCACTATCGTAATCTGACTTGAAAGTTAGCGGGCCACGTTTAGTTTGGCTAGCCGGTAATAGTTTGGTGTGGACAGTGAATCGTGGCGGGAGATTTGAAATTCTGCCCTCTCTTCCTCATTAAGTACCGTCGTGCCTCCTTAATTAAATCCGGCCCGGTGAATTTTACACATTTAGTATAAAGTCTTAGTTGTTCACTATCG